GGCGACGTTTAGCTTTCATTGCTAAAACTAGAGTAGGGACTAGAGGCTGGCATCTAGGCCAAGAACAAGATAACTAAAAATAAGCGAGAACAGAGAGACACTACCTAAAACTAATAATAACTAACAAACTTTCTTAAGTTACTTTCCTTAGCCCTAAAGAGCTCGCTGGAAGACAGCCCTGCTGTCTAACATCTCTTCCTGTTTACTAAACTGCTCTTCAGCAACTGGAGTCCGCTTTAAGCGCAGCTAGAAGCGACTAAACCGCAGCACAATAGCAGTACTATACAGAGAACACTCTCACTTTAAACAAATTGTACCTAGAACGGCCTCTGGCCAAAGTCTTACATAGTCACTGACTGCAGATAGACTCTAATGGAATAATAATAATATAGTCCTAGGGTTGATGCTTTGGTAACGCTTGGTCGTCTACCACTTCCTGAAATAAATGTTTGAATTCTTTGTACTGTTTAGGGATCTCTAGAGTTGCGCTATTCTCCTATACTCTAGCTTTGTGATTTATTAGCCTAGTTTTAGTATTTGCTAAGTCGACCTTCCTACACTGGGAACTAGTCTTCGTCGAGTTCGCTTTTCTCTCTGCGATATTGCACTGCTTGGCAATGTTACTCTTATCTACTATTGAACGCTGCTGATACGTAGGCTGGCTTGCGGGTGCGTCTGTTCCGCAGCACTTAAATTGGAACACCTTCGACTTCTAGTCGATCTGCGGGTTGTGTTCTCGTAGCTATAGGAGTCCTAATATGATGTCGTGGGTAGCTAGTCCAAAAACGTCTAGGTCTATCTTCTCCTTATGCTCTTAGATGCTAAGTGTCACTTGTCTAACCTCGTGTGTTATTCTTTCTTCATTTGGCATTAGTTCGCTATTAGCAACATGTAGTGGGTATAGCTGTTGTTTCTGTAGTTAGGTAAGTCTGGCTTCCTTAACTACGTGCGCTAAAACGTAATTCGCCTGTGATCCTAAGTCCACTAGTGCCTGCATCTGTACGTTGTTAAGCTCTACTGCGAGCTTTATTAGTCTTAGGGGTTCTATTACGTTAATTGCCCTAGCTAGGCCCTGCCTTTGTAGCGCTAGCCTAAAAAAGACTTTGCAAATCTATGGTAGTTCTTTTCTTTCTTGTGTAAATCGCACTTATTCTTAAGGCATGTGTGCCAGTTAGGTCGTCGGCACTCGTACGCGTAGTCGTCTGCGTATTCTACCTGGTATACCATTTGCATCTATATGACCTCCTGTGGGTCTTCATGTCCTAGGAAGTATGCCTTTTCCCTCTTATCCTATAGATGTTTTAGACATGTGTTATCTACGCATTCGAACTAGTAGTATTTGCACTTAGGGTATCCTTTGATAGTTTTAGGGCTCTATTCTAAGTATTATTTCTTAGAGTAATAGGCTAGACAGTATTCGTGTGTGCATGCAGTCTATGATAGCTTAGCGTGGTGGGCATCGCGCGCGTCGTACCAGTACCAGGTGTTGTTGACTTGTTGCGCTTGCTGGGGTTGTCGCCATGACTCTTGTGCCTCCTGCGCCTATTAGAGTCTACTTAGGTTGTTGTGTTGTACGGGATCCCATCAGGGTTCTTCTTGTGCTAGTTCAAGCTCTGCTAGCTTTAGCGTAGGTGGTTAGTTCTTTTCCTTGAATCAAACTATCTTCTCGTATTTCGTAGTGGCCGCGGGAAACTCCTGTTCCTCTACTAGCGTCTTGTATTCCTTATCGCTTAGCGGGTTTTCTTCCTCACTACGTAGGTTCTCTTCCTTATCGCTGCTTTCTGCAGTCGTAAGCATTAAGTCCTTAAGTCCTAAGATAGTTTCTTTGTCGTGTGAGTTGCACTTAACTTAGGCTTAGGTAATAACGTTCCATAACTCGCCATCGTCTAGGCTTAAGTCCTTGTGGATAACGTTTAACTATCTAGTAACTTTATTTTTGTTTTAACAGTCTCGTGCTATATAACCTTCCTTGCCACAGGCGTAGCAAGTGATACCCTTGCTATACTAACTCTTAGGTCCTTTCTTAGGCTTAGCCCTTCTAAACCTACTTTCTTTAGTAATATTGTTAAGGTGCATAAGTTGCGCGCAGTATCCTTAGTAAGATCCTAGAGTTTAGGGTATGTGGCTTTGCTATTGTCCTGTATTAAGAATTAAACGTTAAGTTTGCTATTGTCGTGCTTAATTGTTCTTGTCTTTCTTATAGGATTGTTTGTTAAAGAGTTGTTCTTTAAGTGCTAGTTCGTACAGTTTGTTGTTAAGTTAAACAGCTTCTTTTGTAAGTTCTTCTAGAGTGTTAATGTTAGCTCCACTTCTTATAAGTTCCCTGCGTACTATTAGCTTTAGGCCTTGTTAGTACATGCGCATTAGTGCATTGTTGTCCTATCTAATAATAGTTAAATATTGTTAGAACATTGTGGTGTATTTAGCGGCAGATCTTGTTTGCTTAAGTAACTAAATCTTTTGTTCTACAATAACTAATTCCTTAAAGGGTAAGAAGTTTTGTTGTAATTTTTCCTTAAATAGGTCCTAATCGTGCACTAGTCGTGTGTTGTCTTTGTTGGTGATGCTCGTATCCATGTATTGTTTGATGATAGGGGTGACCTATTTTTCAGCGTCTCCTCGGAAGAAAGTAGTAGCCTAGACAACCTTGTCGTGGTCTTCGACGCTATCTCCTGCGAGGTGAAAGTATCGATCGACCTAGAGGATCTATGTTTCTAGTTTGTGGCGTTCGCTGTGGTAAAGGTCTAGTTTGTTAGAATTCTTGATCATGCCTCTAGTCTAGGAAGACTCTAGGGTGTTCATAGCAATGTCGCTTATCGTGAGGGTGTTTAAAGTGTTAAGAGTAAGTCTTGAGTGGGAACAATATAAAGCTCCTGGTGTTAAGGCTCTTAGGTTGGTTTTTGCGGATGAAGCGTCAGAGATATAAACAAGGGTTTAGCAGTATACAAACTGTATTATACTACTGTACTCGTAACTATTAAGTTAAACACATCGAGCTATAAGGGTTTAATGCGTCCGCTATATACTAAGTGAATGAAGTGATCGTGTACGATCAATAAAGTGATCGTGTACGATCATAGTCCTATGCTAATCTTAATTGGCTGAAGAAGGTGATCGTGTACGATTAATAAAGTGATCGTGTACGATCATGCCGTGATTGGCTGTTCGGCTAACTGATCGTTGACGATCAGTCACGTGACTGCGGCGTGGCATGTAGGATTGCGGCGTCGTGCTTCTCCTTCGCATCCTTCCACTGATTCTCTGCCCTTGCTCTGGCTTCCTTGTTTGCCTAGTAGTCACTGGCCGTAACACCTGCGAAGGCGATCTATTACTACCTATCCTCCTTTAAACAAAAGAGGGTATAGAAGCAACTATTACCTTTATTTAAGAAACAAAGGCTAGAACACAAGCCTGGTACAAGGGAAACATAGAAAACGAGGAATAATACCTATAACAGGTAGCTATACACCTCCCCCACCCTATCCCACCCCCTACCTACCAACTAATAGGCTACGAGCCTTACCTTCATCTAGTTAAAACCCCTCCTAAATATCGTAGCTAGAAACAACCTACTTAGATACTTGTAGGCCTAAAAACCCTACACGTCTTATATAGCCCTTCGGGCTGAAAAAGGACGTTAAACTAGAATAATAATAATAATAATAGGCCGGAGGAGGACCGATATAGGGACGAGACAGCCAAATTAGTTCTTAGAAAAGTAATATTGTGCTCGTGCATAGGCTTACTAAGACCTACTTGATTCATTTCACAGATCAAATCTCTAGAACCGAGGCGTTTGGCAACATCTAAACTAATGAGATGGACAACTCAAATTTTGCGCCAGAGATTACTCAGAAACCTTGCTTTACCCTGCTGCTCGCTATTCGGCTCGCCGTGCAGATACTCATCCTGGGCATCCAAGTCTCGTCTCATCCCAGAATCCAGATCAATCTCTTCGCTGCTCCAGAACCGCGTCTTGAACCACAACTTGTAGCCAACAAAGACGATAAAGAACACGGGGAGCATGATGTATGCGTCGACGAAATTGCCGGCATTGAACGGGCTCAAGGTGCTCCAGCCCTGGACGAGGGCGAGGAAGACGTTGGCGAACAGACCAAAGTATGCATTCCAGGGGTATGCAAACGATTTGAACGGTAGCATTTCTGGAGTCCGGCCCTGAGCTTTCCACGCTTTTCGGAAGCGGATGTGCGTAAACGATATGGCGCCCCAGACGAGAAAGGTAGAGACGCCGCTCAGATTGACAATGTAGGAATATGCCTTGCCGCCTCCGGTGCTGACATTCATCATGGAGATTGTTGCAATCAGGTTTGTGAAAATAATCGCGTAGATGGGTACGCCGCGGCTGTTTGTCTTGCCCAGAAACCTTGGCGCCATTTTCTCCTGCGCCATGAAGAGTATGGTTCGCGATCCAATGTATATGGAGCTGTTTGCTGCGCTCACGACTGTGACGAAAATGAAAGCATTAATAAGGTGGACTCCTCCTTGCCAGCCGGCATTTTGAAGTGCAATTGTCATGGGACTCTTCAACGCACGGCTGCTTCCGTTCGCCAAACCGTCTGCATTCGATGGACAAGTGAGTCCAAAAAAGAAGGCAACTCCAATGTAAACGAAGAGAATGCGCCAAATAACCTGCCGGATGGCGAGAGGCACCGCCACAGATGGATTACGAGTTTCGGTCGCTGCAACAGCGACAGCTTCCACGCCAGCGTAAAATGTTGATGCGAAAACGAAGACGGTAGCTACTCCGCGAAATCCATTGACCCATGGACCTGGATTGTGCCAGTAGCGAAACCCCAGTGCTTCGTCCTGGCCGATCAATCCCCCCGAAGCGTAGACAATTGCGAAAACAAAGTAAGCACAGAGACCGGCAATCTTGACAAGCGCCAGCCAAAACTCTGCTTCTCCAAACGACTCGACGCCGAGCATCTGGAAGCCTAGAAAGGCAAACCAGAAGATCAAAAAGTAGCCCCATAATGGCACCTGTGGACCCCAGAATACCATGATGGAGGAGACGACGTTGTATTCGTTGGCCAGAACGCATACCCACACGAGCCAGTACTGCCAGCCGACTGCGACTCCAAAAGCCTTGTCAACGAAGCGCTCGGAAAGTGTGACAAAGGCTCCGCCTGTCGGATACAGCGTAGTCATTTCGCCCAGAGACTGCGTGATGCTGAATGCGATAATCCCAATGATACTGAATGAGATGAGCAGCGCGGCTGGGCCTCCTGCTGCAAGCGCGCCTCCGGTTCCAACCAGAATACCAGGACCTATGATACCAGCTAGAGCCATCATACTCAGGTGGCGAGTCTTGAGGCCGCGTCTGACGCCACTGGGATCCATTCGCTGAAAGTCATCGTCGGTGTAGCTTGCCGTTGGCGACGAGGGGCGCCCTGCCGTGGCTTTGGAGTCGAAGAGGGCCATGGTGAACCAAGTGGGAGTGTTGATCAAACGACAAAGGTTGAGTTTGCAGCTGAACACGGCCCAGGGTTATAAAGTAAGTGGCTTTTTTCTAGCCTTGACTTGGCGCCTGTAAGAACATTCGGTCTGCGACGAATTGTACGGCTTGGTGCATGTTGCGATTTTCATGACGGATTGCGCGATCGCAATGTCTGTGTGTTGATATGTAGCAGGGATTTGATTTTTTTCGCCGTAAGCAAAGCGAATTTTGGAGGATCCGTGCCAGATTCTAGACATAAGGCAAAAATGCTTGATTCTGCCTCAGGAACACGGTTCTGTTGCTCTCTCGAAAAGGTGGGTATGGAGGGTGGGGAGGGCGGCAAAAGAGATAAGCTATCTGGCGCTAACCCTGGATTAGACCGTGGCGCGATTGGCACTAAACTAGCTAGTTTTCTTTTCGGTATTGTTTTAGCTGCATAGTAAACACCTGTGTGGTTAAGAGTCTCTAAAGGTACCTCTCCATACACATGTATCAACCTGCTGCCCCTCACCTGATGTTGTAATAGACTAGACCTGGTACTAGCGCCATGGGTGAAGTCCGGCCTTGCCAGCTCGCTCCCTATCATCTACGAAGAATAACGCGATAAGCGAAGTCCTAGTCTTAGAGTGTTGGAATTGAGCGATTGATAAATAGACAGATTGTGAGAGAATTAATCAGATCATTCTTGCCTCTCAAAGGCTCAAAATTATCGAATAGGTAGAGATGCCAAGCTAAACACGCCCAATTATTCATCACTTGGTTTCTAGCCCTACGAGCTTTTAACACAGCATGTATGTCCTTAATAAAATCACCAAGGCTTACTATATTATCGAATAATTATGGTAGAAACATGCCATTTGCGAGCCTGCTTTCCTTAGAAGATTCAATATCTTACTTCTATTTCATACTCATAAATATTAATTATTCAACTCTTAGCGAATATAACTTTGCTACAGGTAATACACGATATCAGATAGGGGCCCTAGCTGTCCTGTAGCTTCTTAGCAGGGTTAAGCACGAGGGATCCTAGAACTCAGACCTAGTACCATACCTAAGATATAAAATCTTACACTATTTATCTTAAGGCGCTTTTTTTTAAAAAGTATAGGAAACGCCCTCTTTAAGGATTGTTCTAAATGTATCTATATACTCTACTTTTACATGCTATATGTAAGGATGAACTTATCTTATCTTGTTGAAGTTTTTCCTTAATTTCTAATTATAAAGGCTATCTTAAATTTCCTAGCCCTTCTCTCTATCACTGCTTTTAGCCTAACCCAAGTAGAAGCTTTTCAAAGCTATAGTCAGCAGGATAGTAACTACAGAGGTGTAGGTACGTTTAGCTATAACGCAGAAACGATATCTAACTATATAGATTGATTCCAGGGATGGAAGATGTCTTGTCCCTCAAGGCTTTAATAGTAGAAGATAATTCTCCTATAGTGAAGGTTGTATAGGTGTTACTTATACAATTAGCAAGAAAGCAATTCTAACTAGTATAATAGTGCATGCTTACTACTAGACAGCAAGCCTATCGTGATAAACCTACAACACAAGGATCCTGTTAAGCTCCTTCTAGTGTGTAGTGAAGCATCGTGGCGGCATATAGCAAGATTAGGTGCTTAAAGGATAACATTACTATTTGATTAAACTAGACAAAGTGTCAGGAACCACGTCCCTAGCGACATGAGAGGGCTTATTCAGGAGCCCCTAGCTAGCTTGTAGTATATAATCCCTAAGCCTACACAATTCTAAAGGCTAAGGATTCGTCTTGGAATATACTACTACCTACTGCTACTATTAAGCTCTTATCGTACTGTTCCGTGCTTAAGTCGTCTAGTAGTTCTAACACAAAGCACACTTTCTTAGTTTATACTAAGGAGCCAAGTATTACATAAATAACGTATCTAAGTGATTTCCAGCTATTGAAGGTTCTATAGCTTCCCTTGTTCTTTAGATTGTTTAGTACAAGATAAAGGTAAAGTTACTAAGAGCGAAGCAGATGGATAGTTAGCTCTTATCTTTTTACTATAGCGGTACTGGATATAGAGCAGTGTTATTTGCTTAGTGAATTAAATAGTGCCACACTTATTAGCTTCACTTCCAGCAATCCTCTAACACTCTTACTCCACAACGTAACTTACCTTTTTCAAATGTCGTGTTTTATTCCAGCTACTTACAACAGACCATATACATACATAAACCCCCAGGATCAGCAAGGCATACTTAGAAGCATCACATTTGCCACCAACCCCATGTTCCGCGACAAACCACCCGACGTATATTAGAAATACGAATTGACACTATTAATCAGAAGCTAAAGCTGCTTCTCCTATTGCTGCTACGTTACTACCCAACGGTTATTGATTACAGAGAACATTTTAATTCCTGTCGCCGATTTCCATGCGCTTCTTCAGCCTGTAGGCAAGAGCGCGCTTTCGAGCAGCCGCGCCCTGTGTAAAGGCGACGGAGCCCCCAAAAGGACCTGCTGCGGCTCCATTGCGAACACGCATGACGCAGACATTATTGACACCCGCAACAGTGGCATCACACGTCATACCAGCAGGCATCTGGACCTTCATCTGGAACTCTGTGTTTGTCGCGAGAGAAATGCCCTGGACGCCTAGGCCAGGGACGTCTTGAGTTACCTTTGCGGATTGCATGGCGGACTCGTTGGTGCCGCCAGATGTGCCGTCGACGTCGGCTGTGAAGGGACCAGCACCGTCTTGGTTGATCTGGGGAGGGTTAAAAGGGGGGTATTGCTAGCATAGAGGGGAAATGACTGACCTGGCGAAGTGTCATGGTAACTGTGCCGTCATCCGCACATGTAGGCAGTCCGCGCGAAGCACCGGCTCCAACAGCAGCTGCAACACGAGACTCGGGAGGACCATTGGACTTGTCGCCGCCTCCTCCAAACAATCCGGCGATACCTGTGGCGCCAGCCGTACCGCCCTTGTTGCCGCCTCCAAAGAGGTTACTGAGGAATTGGCGCTTCCTTTGGCCTGGCACCTGGATGTTGTCTTCTACGCCTACGCTCCCCGAAGCGCCCTGGTTGGCAGGCGGTGCAGTGCCCGCTCCCATGAAGGCCCCGACCATGACTGCAGCATCGACATTGCCGTTGCCCTGGGTACGGCCCAGAGGCCCCGTCTTGCCGCTGGCAATCTCACGGTCTCTGATAATGGCCGTGTCTGCCTGCGATCCACAGCCGCTGCGTTCATATTAGCCTTACAATCAAGATTCCAATAGCCATGCGACTTACTTGGAAGAACAGTCCCGAGGCGTTCCATCCTGGATCGTCAGTCCAGGCATCGACACACCGTTTGCGCCCTTGATTTCCGTAACCACGCCGTGCGCCGAGACGGCTGCCGCCAGAGCAATGACGAGTGTTGGTGAAAAGTACATGGTGGAGATGTGATATTCAAAAAAAACAGTATTTCTCCGCTCGAGTTCAACTCGATGTAGCCTGAAAATAGGTATTTTGGAGGAGAAGATGAGAAGCTGAACAAGCACCAGGCTATGAGAAGGAATTAAAGTATGTACTATCCAAGAGAGTTGTAGAGCTGAAAGCGGATGACGATCTTCCTTTTCGGCTTCGCTCCCGTCTTCTTATACAACTCCTTCACTGTAGATGCAGCATCGCACCTCATGCTGCATTAGGACAATACGTGCCCCCCTCGTCGCTTGCACGCACATTGTCCACCCGCCGATCTGCCTATCGAGCATGTCCCAGTCCACCCAGTAGGCATCTTCTCCAGCTACCTGTGGCATGAAGGGGTTGTTCTGAGGCTACTTAGCAACACCAACTAAGGCTTGGCTGCGAGAAGCCGTTTCCCAGGCACACTTGGCAAGCGGAATCAGAGGTCCCAAATGGCGGCGGAGAGCGGGACGACAAACTTGTTCCGACTGCCTTAGTTTCATTCCCAGCCGTGGCGCGAAGGGCGTTGATGCCCGCCTGCAGGTGCCAAGGCCCAACCGTTGTGAGGCAGTGTTGTGAGGAATGCGAAACGGGCCATGTTCATGCAAAACGAGGGTGAGCGATTGCTTTGGGGGGGGCGATTGTGGAATCCAAGTCAAGCAAACATTTGCAACATTTGGACGGTGCTGCCGATTGATTGATAGCGTCGATACCTTCGTATACCTGCATCATCGGGGGGATTACATGAGAAAATAGCTGTGTACGGAAAATGATATCCGAACCTTATTTTTTACGCGGTAGGTGCGTAAAGTAGGTGAGAATTGCCAGCCCGCGCGGACATATACCCTAAACTATACACAAACACACAGACTTTGGGACACCCATCCTCCCCCCCCCCTGGTCACACGTCACAACCCAAGCTTAGACAAGCAACACGAGCCAACGCACATCACCCTCCTTTTTGTAAAACTAAATCTGACGTCTCTCCTTCCCTCCCGTTTCCCGCTCTTCTTCTTCTTCTTTTCTTATCTTTCTCACAAATCCCTCCAATTCCCCTCGCCCCCTTCTTCGCCCGCCCCATTCCCATTCCCCCCCCCCACAAAAAAAATCCCCCAGTCTAGCCAACCCTTACTTACTTACTTCCTTACTTACATAATTCCATAGCTACATACATAGCTGCCGCACACATCGTCGCGCACTAGCGTTTCACCAAACAAAAAGGCGCCCGCCGGGTGGAGACGCGCGATCTTCAAACACACGGTGCCTTGGTGTTAAGTAAAACGCGAAGTTGGACCCTGGTCGTTTATGCAGCGGGAAGGGGACATAGTACCCACACTGACGCTATCTTTTCTCTCTTTCTCTCTGTCTGTCTCTTTCTGTGTCTGTGTGCATGTGGCGCTGTCTTTGTAATATACAAAAGTCGACGGGGTCGAGAAGGACCCATGTGCTTAGATAGCTTAGTAACGACGAAACAGAGACAGAGAAGAAGTGGAGAGGGGGGGGATGGACAGAATGCGGAAGGAGACGCGCTCGAGCTGTTTTCTTTGTGACGCTAGTGTCTTTTCTTCTTTTGCGAGGTGTAGATTGAGGAATTTGAGTTTATCGCGGTCCAGGGGGTGTTTGCGGGGCGGTAAATGTGGTGCCGTGTGCGTGCGTTGGAGTTGTGTGGTGGTGGTGGTACATAGCGGTTGGGGTTATCTTATGGTCTTTCACCCAATTTACCGCTATTGGATAAGTAGTCGCCTGTGTTTTTGTATAGTTAACCAGTACAGCTTTGCAGCCCAGAAACCTTTGCATGTATGTATTTAGTGTACATGCCACGCCATATTAGCTGGTGCGTCAGATCCAAACCTCCCAGCGAAGAATAGCCACAAAAACTCTCTTTTTTTTCTCAAATAGATGCTTGTAAACCTGAGTAGCGCCTGATTTCCATCTCCATCCATACCAGCGTCCCTAGTGCCCCATCGCCTTCGTTTCGTTAGCTGCTTCAGCCAACTGTCGCGGGTGAAGTGGCAGTCTTCAACCCCCCCCCCCCCGTTCGTTAGGCGGGCACGGGTGCCAAGCACGTGAGACAGTAGACACACATACAACATACTCGGCATGTGATACACGTACAGCAGTCCGTCTTTTGCCAATGTCACATGTCTAACATGTAGACTATGTCCCACAGTGACATGACATGTCTGTGAAAAAAAAACAGGCAAAAGGTGCTTAGTTTTAGTCGCTTATAGCATCAATACGTGGGTAGAAATCCACACGCAGACAGACAGACAAACAAACAGATGAAAACTAGAACAACACACGCTCGCACACACACACACACACACACGCACACATACGCGATGAAAGAAAGCCGGAACATGGGTAGAATAAAAAAAACTTGGATAGAGTTTGTAAATAGTG